ACTCCCTGCCCCACACGAAGGGAACATCACACTCTGAGCTGCAGTGGGACCTGGGGATGGGGTTTCTCTGAGGCACTGCTGACAAAGGGAAGGCATTTTTATAACCCAGGGGTTTCCACCCAAATGAAACACTTGAGTGCTCAGTGAAAGCTTCCCCTGGAGTCTGGAGCTGTCTGAGTCAGCACAGATTCACTTTTGCTACCCAGCCTTAGCTTTCCCATGGAGATGCTCTGATGCTTTGGGCTGTTTGTGCCCTCGGAGCCTCCTGCTCACACTTTGCCCTGCTCCCTTTAAAAAGCACTTTTTAAGTGCCTTGGGAGCAGCAAGCATCCCAGCAGGATCCAGGGAACAGCTCAGGGCAGTCTCTGCTCCCTGGTGCTGGTGGGCACAGCTGGAGGGAATCAGGGGTAACCAGCACATGGAGAAAAGGTGATTTAAGTGAGCTCCCACCACTGGAGCTCTGGAGAAGGTGGCTCTGGGAACAGCAGCGTGAGGGCTGTGACTTGGTGTTTGTTTGAGTCTCCAGAGTCAATTGAAATCCCGAGGAGTGTGTTTGATGCTGAATGTCTTGTTTGCTTAATAGAACCACATCCTCCTCGGTGCAGGTGAGCATTTTGCAGCGTTTACAGCGTGTGGGTCAAGTACTGTTTATAGCTGTGTAATTGTTGCCACTCTTTTCTTTACCAGCACTCAGGTAAATCTTTTAACTTCGTGTGTTGTTTGAGGTGAGAGATTTGAACAGGCTAATTTCTCAGCCTTTAGAAAATGCACGTTGAAAGGCTCTCAGCATCCTGCCCGCTCTGCCAATCTCTGGTGGCACTGTGCTTTATCAGCTGGGGTGCTAAAATCCTCAGCAGAGGTGAGATTAATCTTAATTTTAGATACTCGATACTCTGAGGCTGAAGTCTGACCTGCTCACCCCGGGCTCCTTGTGCAGTCACTGATGGAAATAGGTGTCTCCAGAAGGTGATTCATCTCCGTGCTCTCTATCTCGGGGGTGAGATGAGTTGCCCTCTGGAAGCGCCTGCTTCCTCCCTCTCCGTGCCTGTAAAGGGAGCCTAGAGCAATTGGCTCACAATTAGACACCTAAAAGTTAGACATCTGAGCCCAGGCAGCCGAACCCCCTGCCTGGTGTCTGCCTGGCACTGTTCCCCCATCGCCCGTTCAGCTGTTCCGAATTTCCCTCCCAAATGCACCGCGGCAGAAAACTGATTCCCTGTGGGAATTCCCCAACACCTGTTAAAGATTGAAATCGCCTCCTAATTCCCCCGGCCCTTCCAAGATCAAACCGTGGGGTGAATTAAGTGCGGGGCCGGGTGGGACGGGGACCGAGGTGATCCCTGCGCTGTGATCCCTGCGGTGTCGCTGGGTGAGAAGCTGTCACCCCCCGGAGGTGACATCTGCATGCGTGTGTTTGCCTTTGGAGGAGATGAAGGAGCGCCGCAATCCTGATTTTCCTTCCCTCCCCATCGCGGTGCTTTCATCCCCGAGTGCCCGACTGGCTCTGCAGCTTCCAGTGGGAATCGTGATGGAGCTCCTGTCTCCGCTTTTCCATAGCGAACGCCGCGTCCCGGGAGGGGGGGAACAGGCAGGGGGTGAGGGGGGGGGGGAAAGTTGTCCGGAACTGTTCTGCTTCTCCCATCCCCAGAGAAACCTCCCCAGGCAAACTCGCACCAGATCTGATGCCAGTGCTATGCAAAACAGCTGCCAGGTGAACCAAGGAGAGCTGCACGGTCCTGGTCTGCCGTGCTAAACCGAGCTTATCGCTGCTTTTCCCCCCCCTCCCCTTCCCTGTCCGGAACACCCAGAAAGAGCCTTGTTTGTGGGGAAGCTCCTGGGAATTGTAGTGCAGGAGCTCAGGGCAGCCTTGCCCGGTTTAAATCTCAGGGCTTCCCCCGGTTTGATGCAATTCAGGGAGGGCAGGACTGCATCTTGCAGATGCTGGAGATTTTGGATCCCATTGTGTCTGGCTGGTGTAGCAAGAGGCAAGTTGTTGGCTGGGCTGAAGCTCCATTAAAATTAGTGGAGTTCTGGCAGTTTACAGCAGGAGAGAATCTGCTGCCACTTACACTTTTCTTTCTTTTTATCTCCCGGAGCTAGAAAAGATAAAATCTTAAGTGCAGAGTGTTTGAACAGCCCGTTCCTTTCAGGAGAGATGACTACTGCAGTGTGAGTCCTGATGTTGACAGAAACTGGGAGGAAACCGAGTCTATTTTTAAAATATTTGCAGCAAAGTTACTGATTTAACTGAAAGGGGAGAGTTGTTATCCCTATCACACCCAAACCTTGCCTGGCAGCTGGAATCACTTTAACTTTACATTAACTGAAGTAGAAAAAGACCAGATTTGTTTGCAAATAAATCTGTGCACAAACACTGGCTGGTCCTGCTGAAGCCTTGAAGAGATTTGTGTATCCAGCTCCCATTTACATAACCACTGGGAGCAGGAATCACCTCGCCCAGTTTTAAATATCTCACTCTTGGACATCTAAGCCCGAACTAGTTGCCCCTGGGTCCCTTGGGAGTCAATTAAGAGGAATAGTCATCTCCAGAGGGCCATTCATCTCAGCTGGAGATGGGTGTCTGAGATAGGTGGGATGAATGGCCTCTGGAGGTGCCTATTGCTCCTCACTGTCTCCCGAGGCACCCCGGGGCAGTTGTCTCAGACTGAGACACCCAAGTTACCCCTGAGTTAGTGTCAGTCTCCAGGAATATTTGCAGTCACAGAATTCCTGGCTGAGGTGCCCCCGATCCCCCCCCCCATTGACCCTCGGTGGGTAGAACTTGGAGGAAGCTGTGTCTGACCTTGGAGGAGAGGAAGGGGCAAAGGCAGGTCAAAGTCTGGAAAAAGTAAGAGATGGGAAGCTTGGAAGAGGAGGAAAGACCGTGCAGGAGAACTTGGGCCTGGTGGTAGCGATGTGCAGGGAAACTGTTCCAGCTGCACATCCCAGGTTCCAAGTTTTGGGGTGTATGGTGGTGACTCAGACACCTTCACCGGGACCTCAGGATCTCCCTCAAGGCCTTTGAATGTTGCCTCATCAACATGCTGCACTTGAACCGTGAGTGAAACTCCTGTATCCAAGAAACCAGGAGATTACCTTTTCCTTCCTGTTCTATTTTAGCAACTGGGAACTTTATTTCCTCCTTCTCTCCTCGCTTTTCTTCCCTTTAGCTACTGCCTTCAGATTGCATCAACACCCCCCCCTCCCCTCCTTCCCCGTGGGTTTCAAAGGTAGAAACTGCAGGCCTTGAAGATCCTCCTGGAGTCCTGCTCAGGTGTGTGGATGCTGATTGTGATCATCCATTAGCACTATCAGCATTCCCATCGGTGGCTGCGCAGTTGTTGGCTGGAAGGCAATGAATGAACCCGATTCCCGGGGCGGGAGCAGCTGGAGAGAGGTGGTCAGGGAGCAGATGGCTACGGAGAGGCAGGAGGGGGGAGCACGTGGCAAGCTGGAGGTTGTAGCAGGAGCAGGGGATTGCATGGAAGGAGATAAAGACCTGAGATTGGGAAGAGAGAAAGCTTTGAGGAGCAGGTCGGGGGGAAGGCAGGAAGCCAGGGCAGGCTGGAGCAGAGCAGAAATGCAGCCAGGCTGGGGGAGAGGGCACGGAGCTGGATCGTGGTTGAGGTGCAGATGGTGAGGAGATAGAGGAGATCTCAGAGTTGATGGGGGCAACAGCTTGTTCTGCTGTTAAACAGTGCTGTGGCAAAGTCCTGCAGCTCAGTTTCCACAGCCAGTGCTGTTAAATGTTTCAGATTAAATCTCCAGAGCTGTTTCTAGATAGCAGAGAACGAGAGGCTGCCATGAAACTGTTATCGTTGCCTCTCAAATATTTTGCCATCCATGAGTAATTGTACCAAGCACACTCCCCCTGAGGATCTCAAAGGGCCACGCTGATTCACCTGGGAATGTTGTGTGCATGGAAAACTGCAGGCTGGGTTAGGGCAAAGGCTTGTGCAGCTGAGGAAAGCAAGTCCAGGGGAGAGTTGGATTTGCACTCCTGCCTGCACAGCCTCTCCCAGCAGCTTTCCAACTTTTTGCAGGAGACATGAACTGCTGAGAAACACGATGTGTTGGAGCTTGATCAGATCACAGGGCACGGGCTCTGCTTTCTGGGGAACGTTATACTGGAAAAAACAGCAGGAGGAGCCCCCGGGGGCTTGTGTTGGTGGGATGTGAACAATTTAAGGCTGTTTATCACAAACTCGGTTGGACTGGAAGAGAATGACTTGGGGAATGTATTGCAAAGGGAAGGGGTTTCTTGGGGTTGCCTTTGCAGCTAAAGAGCTTCGTGGAATCCCTTAAAGCATTCATATCTGTGGAGAGCACAACCTTTCCTCTGTGATGTTCTTGATGAATTTGGCAGGTGTGATGGAGGGGGGGGGATGTTTATCATCAAAGGGGAATGAGTGAGGGCCTGTGCGGTACCTTCAGGCTGAAACCTGTCTGATTTTTTCCCCCTGTGCCTGCCAATCTCTTTTGGAATCAAGGAGACGCCTCTTGAGCACAACCCCACGGCACCCTCTGTTCCTTCAGATATCCCGTAATTACCCAGTGCCACACGGGTTCCTGAAGATCCCAGGCTAACAGCCCTGGCCACCTGTTTGCTGGCCTTTCCCACAGTTAGTCCAGGCTTTATTACGTGCAGTGCCTCAGTCCCGGCTTTCCCTGGAGATCTGTGATGTCCTCCAGCTCACCCCTGCTGGAATCTCCCTTGCACTCAGGGAGATTTCCCCCACCCTTTGCTGCTTGGCCAGGTATCTCCCGGGAAGAAACACTTCTATTATCCTTCAGCAAAGGCTGATGCCATTAAATGTTGTAAAAGCTGATTTCATCCTTCCACTGCTGCGCTCCCAGTGACTCCCCCTTCCTCCTCCTCTCCTTGCTCTGAGCTGAGCCAGCCCCATGGCTTTGCTTCCATGTGTTCTAAGTTCTGGAAATCTCCCACCAGTGCTCGCTGTCATCAATACTGAGATATTTTTCTGTTTGTTTCCTTGTAGGCAATGAACAGAATGGGCTGGACTTTAACAGGCAGGTAAGACTCTCCTGGGTTACCAGGTATTCTCCTGCTTTCTTGGATGACTGTTTTTTAATTGCTCATCATGCCAAGTCCCAGGCAGCTCCTGCTGAGAGATAAAAACTGTTAGGGCAGAAGCTGCCATCAAACAGACCACAGAACTTCTTCCCAATTCCCCTTGTGGGATAGAATGACAGATCACACCTCTGCTTTCCCTCTTCCTATTTCATAGAAGTTCAACTAATTACAGAGTTTCTTTAAATGACCACTTGCTTGAGGGTTTTGCTGGCCTTTTAATTTTTATTTTTTTTTTTCTATTATCACTTAGAAACAAAAGGCACCTCAGTTAGAGTGGCAAATGTGCAAATCCCTCCCCAGAGCCCCGTGCACTGTGACACTGGGAGTGCTGTGATGTTCGAGGCCAAAGGTACAGGGCTGACTCACAGGAGTATCAGCAAGGACTAAAAAGATGAGGTGGTTTGAGGTCTTGGAGCGTGTAGGTCAAGACCAGGCCTGCCTACCCCAGATTCCTCTTTGCAAGGCAGTGGGGAAAGGGACAGCAGATAAAAGCAGTGCTGCTCGTGGGGCAAGTGAGCCCCAGTTGCAAGTGAGCACAGGAGGGACCGTTGTCTCTGCTCTGTTCGCTGTTCTCCTGCTTTGTGCAGTTAAAACAACCCCTGAGTTGTTTTTTTTTTTTGCTAAAAACAACGCACTGAGTGCCTGGAGATTTTCATTTGTGGCTCTAAGAAATCCCTAGGTGTCACCTCAGAAGGTGACAGCCCTCTGGAGCTCTTGAATCTGTGCAGACACGTGTGAGGCTGGGGAGGCTCTGGCACAGGTTGCCCAGAGAAGCTGTGGCTGCTCCATCCCTGGAAGTGTCCAAGGCCGGGTTGGACGGGGCTTGGAGCAACCTGGGCTGGTGGAAGGTGTCCCTGCCCATGGCAGGAGGGTGGAACAATCTGATGTTTAAGGTTCCTTCCAGCCCAAACCATTCTGGGATCCCATGAAAATGCTCTGAGTCCAGAGCTGAGGGCTCCTGTGGCCACCAGGGCTGGGCTCAGAACCTGTAAAGCAAAAGAGGAAAAAGAGCCAACCCCCTGAGCTGCTGCAGGACTCTGGGGGTTGGATGGGGAGCTGGAGCCAGGGAAGCAACAGGGGCTGTAACTCCACGGCCAGCCACGAGCACTCGCAGCAGATATTGGCAGCACAGCAACCTCCCCGCTCCCTGCTCTGCACTCCCTGAGCTCAAGGCTTACATCCCTTTCCAAAGGCTCCCTGCTTGCAGCAGGAGGACAGCTGGGCCTTCTCAGTGTGGCTTTTTTTTTGCCCTGCAAGCTTTGCCCCGGTGGCTCTTGCCTGACACATGTCAGCGAGCTGCTGTTTGTTTGTTTGGCTTGGCTGCTCCGGCTTTGGGTGGGTCGTAACTTCCCATCAAAGGTGTCTTAACACGCTCAGCCATCTTCCAGGTTTTTGGAATACCCAGCTGAAAACAAAAAAAGCCTTGTGTCTCCAGCTCTGAGGATTGCAGAGCCCAGAGCACAGGCTTTCCACGCGCCAGGAGAGGAATCCAATCTGCTCGGAAGCAGCGATAAAAGAAAATTCCCTCCAGATAGAAAGAGGCACGAGATCCTTCCACGGTGCAAACTTTTCCTATGGCAACAACACCACAAAGATGTTGGAGCTGGAAGCTGGGGTTAATCAAGGAGACTTATTGACTGTGGTGGAGCATCAGAAGTGATCTGACCCACTGTTTTTAGGGTCCTGCTCCTCTGCATGTCACTGAACGATGCTGGTGAAGTTGGGCGGGGGGGGAGAGGAAGCCAGGCTTGCTGTCAGTAGAGTTGGCTTGGTAGAAACATCTTCCTCCTAGAAACAAATTGTGGTTCTGTTTGCCAACATTTGTTTTGTCACATTTCTCAAAAGAAATCTGAGGGTTTTTTGTAGCATTCGCTTCCCGCTGGTGTTTTATTTTTTTTTTTTTCCTTAAAAACAAAAGGGGCGACACAAAACCTCGTTCGTTTGTGCCAGCACCTCCCTGTAAGTGAGTAGCAAACCTGACTGGGGATTTCACAGGGTTTAAAGAGCAAAAGGCTGTGAACAAGCTCATTTTATTGTTTCATTTTGGTTTTAATCTGGTCCAACGCCCCAGAACAGTGCCTGCCCACGGGGTTTTGCAGTGATGTCAGGGATGGGGATGTAACAGTCCATGAGTGGACACAGGGCTGTGCAAGTGGCTCTTTGTCTCCCTCTCTTGGCTCTCTCAAGGCCACGTGTAGACTTATTTAAAATTATTATTATTATTATTATTTAAAATAATAATAATTATTTTGAATTATTGTTATTTAAAATAATAATAGTAATTATTATTATTTTAAATTATTATCTTAAATGAGCATGAGCCCGAATGCACACGGGTTCCACACTCACATTTTGGGTTGACCTCAGCTGTTGGTGAATTCACCCTCAATTCAGCAAATAGATTTCAAATGAGGAGAAAAAAGGAAGAGAGGAGAGATGGAAATATCAAAGTGTTTTCATGTGAAATCAGGTGCTGAGCTCTTTCATTAGGGGTGGAGGTTGGTGGGTTTTTTAATTTGGTTTGGGGTTTGAGGTTGGCTTTGGGTGGCTTTTTTTTTTTCGTTAGCTTGCAATTCAAGTTTTCAACCCGAAGCCAGAGAAGGATGGTTTGAAACCCAACTCCAACCTGACTGCAGGAGCTGCTGAGCTGCCTTTGACTTTATTTGGAGTGCTGGGCGCTAATCACTTTGAAGATCATAAATCTCACATCGTTTAAGCCTCTCCCCCAGTCTTTGTAGATGGCCTACATTTCAGGTCTGCTTCCCTCCCATGTTGTGCTCCAGGCGGGAAGAGAAGGGTGGAGTGACCTGGTTAGACCCCTTCCTTGCCTACCAATTCCCTGCCGTGGCTGCTCTCACCCTGCAAACGGGGAGGAGGGAAACTCTCTGCGGAGTTTGAGGTTTTCTTGCAGTTTGTGGGTCAGCCCTGTGCTTTATGAGAAAGCTCCTTCTGATCCCTCAACCTATTTGGCAAACGCTTCTTTCCCCCCCCCCTCCCCTCTTCAAACTCTCCTCCCACCTGGATGCAGCAGTAATTTGTATGTGAATGAGAGGGGAAAGGGTGTGTATGGAAAAAAAGAGCATCTTCTGCCTTGCCTATCTGGTTTGGCTTTTCAGCCAGGGAGTCTAATGCTGGTTGTTTCCTGTTTATATCAAGGGAAATGCAAAGAGACAGGAATAAACTTTCACCTTGGCTGCTGGCAGCGTGGAGAGGGACATCTGCCTCCTGATGGTTTGGGAGCATGGCCAGAGCTGGGCAGGGACTAAACTGGGTAACTCTGCGAGCAGGGCTTGAGTTTTGCCAGGGAAAGGCATGGAGTGGGACCAGGAGAAGGGCTGGAAGTGTTGGAAAGGGAGCTTTCCCTGGCTGGAATGTGGTGATCCTCCCCAGGTGCTGCTGTGGTCTCACCAGGCTTGGTTGGGTTTAATTCCTGGTCTCCTCAGCGTTCAGCCTTTAGGAAATACTGGATGGTTTGTTTTTGTAGCTGGCTCTGAAGAGAGCTGTTCTGGAGAGCCAGGTGTCTGGAGCTAATCCCTGGGATAATACTGCCTTCTGGAATACACACATGGAGCTGGGGCTGATGGTTTTGGGAGATGCCAGGGCTTGTGTGCCTGGTGGGAGTGTTGTAGCCCAGCACACAGGACTGAGCATTGATCTGCAGCTGGAGGAGGAAAAGGCACAGCTGCTGAATCCCCGATGGCTTTTCCATCAGGGAAGTGATGTGCAGGACCACGTTGGTCCTGGCAGTGACACAGTCTGGGTGCCAGGGAGGGAATGCAGGCTCAGATCTCTCCAAGCCCTTCCTGCTCTCAAGCACTGAGCTGTTTTCAGTGCTGGGAGAGGGAACGTGTCCCTCTGGAAATAAAGCTGAAAGGTTTTGTGTGAGCTGTGCTGGCAGGGCTGAGCAGGATCTGCATGTGCTCCATATCCAAATATGCCATGCACTTTCATTCCAGCAAAAGGCTGACCCTTGCAAGACAGGCTGTCATTTGTTTATCAGACCTGTCATTACCATTAATCAGATCGATGTGAAGGTGCTCCTGCTGTGAGACCTGACAATATTTAAGACAGACAAGCAGGCACTGATGTCCTTGAGCAGGGCTCAGCACAGCTTCAATTTTGCTGTTGGTTCTTTACTCCTATTCTTTGTTTTCTTTGGTTTACACCAATCAGGGAATGTAATAAGGATAAATATCTCTTTCTAACAGGCTTCCTAGAAAGCCTTTTCAGCTGGGTCCGTTGAAGAATTCCCCCCTTCTAAAACCAGTGTGTTACTGCCCTACTCTCTGCAAGAGGGTTCCCTTCCCTCAGGACCTCCTTGTCTAACTCATCTCCCTGCTCTGACAGTCACTGTCCAAGGAAACTTCAACTTATTAATTTATGTGGGACTTTCAACAGTTGCTTTGAGGTAACAGGGTGGGTTATCTCAGGTCTTCACAGCCGATGTCCTGTAGACAAATGATGTGAGAAATTAAAGTGGGCCAACTGCATCTGAGATCTGGAATCACTGGTGGCTCGTTTTTCAGTGCCATTAATAACGCTCTGACCTTGTTTGGTGCTTTCCACCCACACGTCTGAAGGCACTTTGCTAATGGATTTTAGCATCCCAGTGCCTCTGGAAGGTGGGGAGGTGTTTAACCCTGTCCTACAGACACAGACTGGCTTTTCCCAAAGATGCTGAGCACTGTGATTGCAGTTGAAATCAGGGGATGCTTTATGGGGCAGTTGCCTGTGGACATCGGGGTGTATTGAAATCCAGGGACCTGCTCCGTGGCAGAGCTGGGATATGGACTCTGATTCTCTGATTCATAGTCTTGTGCTCAACCACAGACAAGTTCTTCCTCCCCTCCATCCTTTTGAAGGTGGAAAGAAGGGCCTACCTTGCTGGGTAGTTTGTTATTAATATCTGGGATGCAAAACTCCCTGCAGATTTAATTTCG